TTATGTGGCAATGAAGTGTCTATGGAGCAAATCTATAAAAAATGCACAACTAATCAGCAGATTTTGATGCTACTTGAACCCAACCATCTGGGCCGATGGGTGTCTTGAAACACAATCAAAGGAATCCCGGATAGGTGGAATGACTTTGCCCTCCTGGATCGGGTTCCAATGAAGAGGATTCATCCTCATCTTCCTCTTGTTTCACTAGGAGGCAGAAAAGTCTCTTGCACTTGTGCCCTGCTGAGTAGAGTTCATCACAATTAAAACATTGTCCCCTCGCCCTGCGTTCCGCCATCTCACCCCTGGACAAGTGCTTAATAGGGGATGCAACGACGCTGCTCCCCACACTGGATGCTGATCTGGAATTGTTGCTCGTATGTGGCTTTTGTTCTTGGCTGGCTGCTGAATATGGAGCCATCCCGAGTGGTTCCGAGGATGCCCATGCTGATGGAGGCCACCCCATACTAAAGGTCCTACGGCTGAATTGTAGCATGCATTCGAAGGCGCGAGCTATATTCATGGTTGTGACCAGGTTGGGGGGTGTTGCATCTCCACATCCACAATCAAGGGTTCTGCTAACCCTGCGGTGAACATGTCTACCTGCTGGTCCGGTCGTACCGAAGCTGCTCTGGCAAGGAGGGTCTGGAATTGGAGCTGGTATTCAGCCATTGTTCCCGTCTGTTTGAGGTTGATCAGTTCACCTAAGGGGTTGCTTGTCAGTGGGGGCCCAAACCAGAGTTGTGCTTCCTCCGTTAGGTGAAAGGCAGCTAGGTTTACCTTGTCTCGGTCGTTTGTCCATTGATTGCGAAAAAACTACTCGCACCGATACAGCCAACCCAAGGGATCTCGGTTGCCGTTGTATGACGAAAATTCCAACCTGCTGTACTTGGGAATGACCACAGCCCCCTAGTTGACGATTTGCTGCTCGCCGAAAGACTCCGACAGATTCGGTCGGCGGCCGCTAGTGGCTGCCTCCCCTTCTGTGCTCCTCTCCTTGCTAGAAAGGAATAACTCCATCAGACGTCGTATCTCCCTGACTTCGTCCTTGATTTCCTGTACTTCCGAGCTAGTCTCCACGAGCCGGTGCTCGAGTTCGTGAACCCTGGACAACAGCTGCTCCAGATCACCCATGACGCCCTGCTCTGATACCAAAATGTTATGGGCCCGCGAATAGGATCTCGTCATGGGTCGGTCCACAGGGAAAACCTCCTGTTTTCCCTTGTTCCTCCCATCTCTTGATGAACCTATCTTGGCCGCCCTAATGGTGATTTGTCCAAGAGATCACCTAACTCTCCTTATTCTCTTTCTTGACTGAAATTTTCGATGCCTTTATTCAATATTCTAAGCTCCTTAAATAGAAGATTACAAGAGATAAGAGTCCTACTTTTAGGAAGACTCCTTGCTAATTAGGAAGACTCCCTACTAATCTATCCTACTGAACTGATAAGATAAGACTCCCTTAATCTATCCTACTGAAATGATAAGATAAGATAATCTAATCTACTAACTTAATAAGATAAGATAGGAATAACAAGATAGTCTAATCTAATTTGCCAAATGGATAAGACTGTTGTTGCCGAATTGGATAGGATGAGAACACCAGATCATTGTTGCTGCTCCCAATATGCATCCACATCATCAAGGAAACCCTAGAAACAAGGGACAGACTTCTTACAAATTCATAGGCAAGAATATGGACCTAACTTGTCACTTCTGTGGCAATGAAGTGTCTATGGAGCAAATCTATAAAAAATGCACAACTATTCAGCAGATTTTGATGCTACTTGAGCCCAACCATTTGGGCCGGTGGGTCCTCGAAGAAATTAAGGATACCTCAATTAACTCAAGGTGGAAAGAATTTCTACTAAGGGAAATAGGGGGGATAGAACTGTCAATAGGTAGATCTAGCTCAGGATAGGGCGTACTAGTCCCAAACCAATTATTAATTGGGACAAAATCATAGACACAAAACCTTCTCAATTACTAATCAGGATAAGGCCTGACTTGATTAGACCCAATTATACTGACATCTATAATTATCTATGTTAATAACAACTTAAAACTTCATTTTTGATAATATAACCTTAATAAAAATGACAGTAAAATAGTAAATTGTTTATATGTTAATAAATCAAGTGTTTTTAATCAAAATTATCTTAAATATTCTTTATCAAATTTACCCTTTTAGTCTATACTCTATAGACATAAAATATAATAAAAATTACAAGAAAACTAGGAAACATTTAACAATTACTAACTCAATAATAAGTTCAAGTCTAAATCAGTTTGGAACAGCAAGAACCAGTCCCAAAACAATTATTAATCAGAACAAAATCACAGAACTAGGACTTATATAATCAATTCAGTTTGGTTGGGTAGAAGCGACCCATTGATAACCTACCTCTATGGTAACGTGATAATTTGAAGTTTTGAACTTGCAAAAAATCATATCAAAACCCACTAACATCTTAGAGGATGTGCAAAGAATCCTCACTAAATACATAAAAGCTAGCCATATCTAGGGCCACAAACGGATCAGATCGGATATAGGAATATCCAAATTTGATTTGTTTATATTCGAATTCGAATCGCGTCTTATCCATCGGATATCTAGCAGATTCGAATTGAATTCAAATTAATATATATATATATATATATATATATTAATCTGGAATGGGTGGTTTCTCCTTGCAGAAAACGGTAGATTAGGAGTCTCACGTGCAAATGTTTCGCGCATGTATCCATTGCATGGTACATGCATGTCTCAACTTCTTTCTCATTTCTTCTATTCGAGATCCTTCTTCCAAGTTCCATGCGAGTCTCCCTCTTCGAGAGAGCTCCTTGGCCTTTCGATTTTCCCTGTTGTTGCGAAGGGAGAACGAAGGATGCCCTCCCGAAGGCTTCACAAGCTGCTTGTCCCTCTTGAGCTATTGAGTTCTTGAATCAACAGGGACAAGTAGCGGCGGTGCGGCGGTTTGGCCTGCTCGACTCATTTTCAGAGAGCCGAATACTGTTCATCTTCTAGTTTGAAACCTTGAGAATTCATGGAAGCCAAGGCCGAAGTCGAAGCGTCTACCATCAGAGCCCTGGGTTCTCTCTTCAAGATCACTGAAGTCTTTTTGTGGTATAGTGCTTTCTGTCTGTCTATGGTCTATTTGTTCTTTTGCTTTTTGTTTATGTAGTTCCAAATTAGGGAAAAAAGCATATTTTTCTAGCTAGATTTTGTGTGGTTTGGAGTTCGGGCAGTAAGTTGTTCCCAGAAGACTTGCTTTGTCCACCTTTCCCTTAAGTTCTAGAGTTTCATGTCTCTACTTTCTCATTCCCGGTTTTGTTGTTAAAATTTCTGCTATTTAACAGGACCGATGATGCTCCCATATACGAAACTGAGGTGTCCGCTTCATTTGTTTGTCAAGGTAATTTGGCAGAAACTGCTGTAGGTTTAACTTAGTTTAGTTTGTTTCTGAATTGATCTGCTGTTCTCTTATGAGTTACGATACTAATTTTGGGTTTCCTTCTGATTTAGTAGCTATAGTGATTGATGCATGCATGCACTTATTTTTAGACCCTTTGAAACCCTTATTCTTACATGCAATTTTTGTCTTGCCAAGCTGCTTGTTGGATATTAAATAGTATAAATAAATTAGATTAAAAATGGTTAAAATATTATATATTATTAATAAAATGAGCTAAAAAAGACTTCAATATTATATTTATCAACAAAATGAATTGAAAATTACTTGTATAAAAYTTGAACCTATCACAATTTAGTGAAAATACAACATTGAGACCAATTTAAGTGATAGATATAATATAATTTTCAAGTATATATGAGCATATATATTTAAATCGAATCGAATTGGATTATATTGGATCAGATAGAGGTAGATCCATATTTGATCCAATTATAAACGAAGGGAATTTGGATCACACTTAATAGGATTGGATTCAAATTTGGATAATTGGATACCATTTGCAGCCCTAATTATATCAATCACCCCTTAGAAATCAGGAAAATTAAGGAAATTAATTTATTCTAAACAGTAATATGTTATATTAATATCAGAAAAGTGGGAACAAACAAATTAAATGTGTAATGGTTTGATAGAAAGCTCCTGCATTCCTACAAGTTAAAATGATCTTCAGGCTTCAATACCTCCTCCCCATTGGAAAGAATGGTGGGGCAGCAATAAGAGTAGTGGCTTGTAATTTTTAGGATACCTTTAGGAATCAAATGCAAGGTATATTGGCTGCACCTGCATGATAATTGACATAGTCAAAGCCTAAGCAGCATGGGAAGCAATCAAGCTAGCCAAAAAGTAGCATATTCACAAGGTATGGCTAGAATGAGATTGTAACATGACAATGGGGTGCCTCCAGGGTAGTTTCATAATTCCATGGAAAACACACCCCATAATGAAAGATACAAGGTAGATTGCTAGAAATGAGGATATTCAGGTGTGTGCAATTCATCAATTCTAGGAAGGAACTCAAATTGAAGATCTAATGGCTAACTGATGCAGAGGAGACAAAAGAGATTGAGAGATTAGTGAGGAAAAATTGCCAAGACTTGTCTCATGTTATTTGTGAGGACTTGTGGGGTAGCACTACCCCCGATTTCTGTAGCCCTTTTCCTTTGTATTACCAAAAAAAAAACTTAAGCCAGCAACATGGCAGGAATCTAATGGTTTTTAGAACCAATTGATGACTGAATTTGATGGGATGACAAGTAGACTTTCCACATTCTGGATTTTGTGGATGGCAATAAGGCAATTTAGAGTGAACAAAAATCCTCTCATTTTTTATGGCTTTTGGTTTGCATAAGTGACACAACTAAGGTTTAAACCAGGGTGGGTTATGTCAGTTCAGGGGTAGCAAATGGGTGAGTTGGGTTGGGTGGTATGCAGGTTGAGTACCTGCCCACCCATTAATGACCCACATCCATTTGTCACCCGTACTAATTGCATGTTAATGGGTTGCAACCCACCTGAACCCACCCATTTGAATATTTAAAATTTAAATTATGTAAACCAATCTTTCTTGAGGAAAAAAAGAAGATTTGGATTTCTCTGTAGTGCCACATGTCCATACCTAATTTGTTCAACTCAAACATAAAAATTGGACTTCATTTGAGAGAGAGAGAGAGAGAGAGAGAAGAGATAAAGGAGAAAGAAGCCTCATAACCAAGAGGAGAGACAATTTAAAGGATGGGGCAAGTAGGGATATGAGAGAGAAATATAAAAAATTGAACTTCATTAAAAAAATAGAGAGAGAGGTAATAAAGGAGAGAGAACCTAAAGGAGAGTGGGAAGAGAAGAGAAAAACATAAAAAAGGACATAAGTAAAAAGTTAGAGAAAGGACATAAAAGAAAGAAAAACAACATAACCAAGAGCAGAAAGAATCTAGAGGAGAGAGAGAAAGAGAGAATATAAAGGAGTGAGAGGGGGAGAGAGAGAAACAAGATAAGAGAGGGGAAAAAGAAACGTAAAAATTAAACTTCATTAGGAAAATACTAAATAGAGAAAGAACATAAGAGAGAGAGAGAGAATCCACATAACTAAGAAGAGGGAGAAACAAGAAGAGAGAGGGGTCAAGAAACATAAAAAGCTATTCATTAGAAAAAAGTTAGAGAGAGAGAGAGAGAAAGGACATAAAAGGAAAAGCCACATATCCAAGAGGAGAGAGAATCTAAAGGCATGAGACTAGAAAGAGGACAGAGAAACATAGAGAGAGAGAGAAGCAACATATTCATGTGGAGAGAGAACCTAAAGGAGAAAGAACAGAGAAGTGGATGCCCATTCTCTCTTTGACTATTTTCTAATAAAGCCCAACTTTTGTGTTTCTCTATTCTCTCCCTACTTTCTCTCCTCTTGGTTATGTGGATTTTCTCTCCCTTATCTCCTTTCTCTCTCTAACTTTTTTCTAATGAAGTCCAGTTTTTTATTTCTCTCTCATATCCCTACTCTCTCTCCTTTAAATTCTCTCTTCTTGGTTATGAGGCTTCTCTCTCTCTTTATGTCTTTTCTCTCCCTAAATTTTTCTAATGAAATTCAATTTTTACATTTTTCTCTCCTCTTTTAAATTCTCTCTTCTTGATTATGTGGGCTTCTCTTTCCAACTTTGTTCCTATGAAATCCAATTTTATGTTCCTCCTATCTTCTTTCTCTCTCCCCATGGTTATATGGCTTCACTCTTTTGTAGCCTTTCTCTCTCTAACTTTTTTATGAAGTCCAATTTATATGTTTCTCTCTCCTCTCTTTCCTTTAAATTCTCTCTCCTCTTGGTTATGTAGCTTCTCTTTCTTTTATGTCCTCTCTCTCTAATTGTTTCTAATTAAGCCCAATTTTGGTTAAAGTAATTTAAGAAATATGTGGTAGAGATGGGGAGAGAGGGATTCACTTTAATTTTTAAACCAGCATGGATAAGAGATTGGGAGAGTATTCAGGTGAGAAGTGGAGTTGAGAATATGCACAAGTAGGTGTGGTTAACACTTAACAGTGTATTCACATGGAATAGATATTAGTGGAATAGCATAAAGTTCAAAGACATATAAAGGATATATTACAAATTTACAATGTATTTTCTGAGTCAAACCTAAAGAACCAGGTCCAACCAGACTTTAACCAAACTGCCAATTTATTCAATTCAACCCCTAGTCAAGCTGTCCAGGCTTTTTCTATTTGATCTATAACCAACATCTGGTCATGTTCCTAAAACATTGGCTACTTCAACTCATAGCACAAGTGCACAAACTTTAGAACTCTATTACTCTAACTTGCCTTGATTTTAGCAATGCTTGACAAAATTTGGAGTTTAATCAATAGAAAGGAATCTCTTCCATTTATGATTTTATTCTTAATTCTTCTTCCCCTAATTGTTTCAGCAAATCAAAGAATATGACTTTTCGGTTTCATTTTCATGATCCATACCTAACATAACTTCATGAAATTCTCTAAATTGATAAAGATTTTAATGCTTCAAATACTTCATCAACAACATCCAGGAGAAACTTAGACTAGATGCCAACTAGAAGATGTGGACAATCAGAAACATCAGAGAATCTTCAGCTTTCTTCTAGTAATAAATAGTACCAAATGAAAGTGCATTGTCATGTATTAAAAGTGTAAATGGACAGACTTGTCCAGTATAAATTTTACAAGATCTCAGACGGTTTTCCATAGTATTACCCCAACCAAATAATCAAATGTTCTCGTAAGTCAATCCATCCAATACTAAAACATTATTACATGTTAAATAAGAATATCTATTGATAATTTTTCCATTTTTTCCATTTCATTTCTAAGGTAACAACTAGGACATATTTTCCCTCATAGGAAGCATACTCGGCTGTACTCTAAGTTTCCACTGGGATAAGAAACATGCAACAGCATACAATATAGAAATGGTTAACTTTCCCTCATGGCAAACAATTAAACCTGAAGGACCACTTAAAGCATGTTACCAAGGCTTGATACAAATACCAAAATAAAGTACCTCAAAAATTACACTAGCATGCATATATATTTACAGATCCATAGATACCACAAGCTAGAGAGCGAACGAATATTGCAATCAATAAATCAAAAGCAGAAAGTGATTAGTTACAAATCCAGTGCATACTACACAATGACAATTTGACCTTCTATTGGCTTATCAAATATAGCAGATGGACAAGTGAGATGCAAACCTTCAGCACCATCTGGGTTATTGTTTCCACGTCAGTGTGAAGAAACTTGTGAGCAAATCCAAGAAAATGCATTACCAATGAACTGTAGAACAGGTAATTGGATACCACATAGCTTTTCCAAGGTAATGAATATCCAGCTGCTGATTGACAAGTATCCTTGATCGCATCTCTCTGAACTGGAGACTCAGCATTCCCATTTTTTGATGTTTCAATAGGTTGATCTACTAATGCATCAAGCTCCACAAAATCCTCCATACTAAGCTTCCAAGGTTCCAAGTAACTGATCCAGAGGTCATATACTTGAGATACATTCTTAACTGAAGACTCTATAGGGAAAAACAAAAATGTCCTTAATATAAACCTGTACAGCGGCCTTTGGATCAAAGAGTTCCAGGAACCAACAGAACTGCCTGAAGATAAAGATGATACCGCAACCCTAGAATTAACAGCATCAAAAGAACCTGAATTCCTCCAATGAGGACTTCCGCTATATTCAACTGAATCAGAACCTTCCCCCGGGGCTACCAAGCTTTTCATGAGATACTTTAGAAAAAACTTAACAACTTCTCCCAGACCAGATGCTGGGGGAGTCTCACCCAGAACTGCTCGAAAAGGAAAAGATAAACCGAAAGATTGGCATACACTTACAGGAAGTGGTGAAAAATCATTATCAACCAACCAAAAGTTTATTAAAGTATAAACCAGGAACTCCGCTTGCGAAGCAATCGAGCCGTCATATCCCGATGAATAATTAAGGAGAGAACTACGGTACGGCTGATTGGAATTGGACCCATAATTCGGCACAAACACTCGCAGGTAAGCATAAAGAAGTCGTATGTACAAGCCACATTCGCTTTTTTGCCCTAAACCACGGTTGGCACCACCCAAAACTGGAAGAGAAGACGTCCAATTCTCTATCCTAAACCGCCGGCTTTTCGTAACCACCACTGCATTGGAATTCTCACTGTTCCCTTTGCACACAGGATAGTAAGCGAACCAGAACATGTAGTACTCGAACACGTTCAACTGAACTTGGTAAATACCCTTTACTGGACCCTCCTTAATCCTCCCTTTAAACAACGGACATAAATCAGATAAAACACCGCAATCCCTCCCGTTCTGAAGCATAAACTTGGCCCATTCCGGCAATCTCTCGAACGGAAAGACATACTTCACCAAGGAATGCCGATCAACAGCAGAAATCGATGAAATCAAAACACCATGCGGGGAAAGGAGATTAAAAATCCTACCTGCAAGTTCAGAATTGTTCGACGCCTGAACCTGATCAATCCATCCATTAGACGACGAGGGCGATTTCTGTGACGACGATTCATCGAACCCGAAAATCTTGCAAATAAGCGCAGGAAATGCAATCGAAAAGAACGATCGGCTCTGGTCGGCGTTGTACTTTTGAAGGAAAGTTTCGATTGCAGTGCAAGAAGCAGATATATTAGCTGGAGACGAAGCGTCAAGAATCATTGAGGCGAGTTCTTGAGCTTTGTTCTGAGAATCCATGACGTAGGGGTGAGGAATCATGGCGCGGCTGAGGAGTTCGGATATGGTTTCACGGTAAAACAGAGGGAAGTGTGAAGAGTGAAGAGTAGTTTTGCTTTTGTTGCAGAAAATGAGGATTTTAGGGCACAGACAGAAAATTTTTTGAAGTTTTAAATGTCTCGCGGGGCAAATGGCGCCTTTTATGCTTGGCGAGGGTTTATATTGGAGATGTCTAAAACCCCCCTTATTCCTTTATACGGAAAAGTACGGACAGATGCTATGCAGATTTCTAATTTGCACTGCAGAGTTATAAACATTTAAAATGCTAAGAATTCACACTCTATGCATCAATACCCGCCCGTGAATTGGCATCAATTCCGAGCTGTCACCTACTCCAATAGTATTTTGAGCCTATAAATTCTGATATTGGGCTGAATTGTCATTCTTTGAGCCTTCTTTATATTGCAAATGGAGGAGACCAGAAGCGTCATGGTTGTTAACGTGGCTCACATCTTTCGCTAAAGCATGGGTCACACAAGAGACCGGATCTGCTCTTCACATGGCGCCTCACCGACTTCACAGGCACATCCCACCTTGCATTAGGAACATCTCCCGTACTTATGTGTTATTATTTTGGGAGAATGACGATTCAACTCAGGGTCAAAATTTGTAGGCCTAAAGTATTGTTGGGGTAAGTGTCAACTTGGAATTGATGCCAATTCATGAGCGGGCATTGGTGCATAGAATGTGGGTTGTTGCCATTTTGAATGTTTATAGCTTTGCAGTGGAAATAAGAAATCTACATTGGGCCAGTCCATACTTTTCTATATTATTTTCGAGAGATGTTTCCAATGCACAGTGGGATGTGCCTGTAAGGTCGTTGTTAGGCGCTTGGAACATATCACAATTTGTCCCACAAATCCAAACTTTGGCTGAGATCGGCTTCGGTCAAGGCAAGCCCCTACTCACACCGTCCCAACATCCTTTTGCAACCTTGCATTAGGAATATGAGATAGGCTTTCGTCAGGGCAAACCCATGCCCACACTATTCCAACCGCCTTTTGCAACCTTGCATTAGCAATATCTCCCCATGAAATAAGGCACATAAGCATGGAGATATTCTCAATGTAAGACTATAAAGGCTGCTCGAACGAGGTTTTCCGTGACCAAAGCCGAACTCTGAGAATATCTCTCCATAAAATAAAGCACATAGGTACAGAAAATATTCCTAATGCAAGGTTATAAAGGCTAATCGAATGGGTATTGCCTTGACGGAAGCCAAACTCACTTTGGTTGTCACCGTTCGACAGCCGATGGTGTAGTCTAAGGGGCTGCCTCGGCGGTTTATTAACTGATGTGTCAAACAAGGAGAGTCTTGTGTTGTTTAATATTGACAGCCAAAATTTTTCTCTCCATTCTTGCTTGAACTAACAAGTACAACTTTTTTTTTATGAGTAAATAAACTATAACAGCAAGAGATTAATGAAGTCTTTTACATTTGGAACCCTTGGGGATAATGATCCAAAAAAAAGTAGTCCCGAGTAAAAGTCTTAGGCCATGTTCGAGAGTGCTTATTCAAAATAAGTTCTTATTTGGACTATTAAGCATTTATTGGTATTTGGGAAATAAGCCCAAAAGAAGTGTTTATTTTAAAAAATAAGAGCATATTTTTTAAGCCCAAATTTCTAGTTTTTTTAAGTGCTTATACAATAAGCATTTATTCAAATTTTTTCTTCCAAAATTATCCCTAGTTGAATTTTAAAATACCACTTATAATATTATCCCTAGTTGAATTTTATAAAAGTACTTTTATGAAACCACTTTTGCAAAAGCACTTTTATGAAAATACTTTTATAAAAGTATTTTTAAGAAAGCACTTTTATGAAAGTACTTTTACAAAAGTACTTTTATGAAAGTACTTTATAAAAGTATTTTTTGTAAAATTTCTTTTATAAAGTGCTTTTGTAAAAGTTCTTAGGACAAAATAGTCACAAATGCTTATTTAATTGCTTATTGAAGAAAAAGACTACCAAACGTCCAATATAAAATAAGTACTTATATAAGCACTTGAAAAAGTTGGGTGTCAAATGCAAATAAGTGCTTATTTGAATAAGCACATGTTTTTAAACACTTATTTTTAACTTAAGCACCCCCAAACATAGCCTTAGCCCTTTGAGCTACCAATGGGTTACGGCATTAAAAGTTCTATTAACATAACAAAATGAAGAGAGCAACAAGTCTAGGGGAGAGGAGATTTTTCTCTAGAGCTTTAATAACTCACAAAGAGTCCGAGCAAATCAACAGATGACCCTCTGATAGATAGCCTTCCCCCAGCAAGACACTTTGCAAAATGGGATTCACTTCCACTTCTATTGAGTTCAAGTCCTTTACTCTACCCCCCCTACAATACAAGGCAAGACAAGTTAGATAGGCAAATTGCTCCAAAAGATCCATCACTAGAAGGAAGTCTACCTCCATATGCAAACAAGATGATATTAGTATTTGACTTGGCCTATAACTCAAATTTTTATATATGGTCTAGTTGATTCCTTGACCCCAAACTGGTGTTAGGGGAACATTAAAATGAAGCTTTCCCCAACAATACAATATTTCATAATAAATGCCTATGTGGCAATGAGCATGGTTTTTCAAAACCGGACTGGATCGGACGATCGGACCAAAAAAATCGAGAGGTTCTGTTTTCCCCCAAAACCGCTGATTTTGGTTAGCAAACTGCTGAACTGGTCGGTTAACCATTTGAACCGTTCGAACGGTTTTGACCGTTTTCCAATTTTTTTAAGTATTTATTTATTTTTTTTATCAGAATAGGCCGGCCATTCGGGTCGAATGGTCGGACCGTTCAAACGAGTAACCGGACCCCTGACCAATTCAGTCACCAGTTCGTTTTTAAAAACCATGGCAATGAGTTCAACAAAACCAAACACCATCTAAGAGGATGTTTGGTAGTGTTATCGTTTTACAAAAAAATTGTGTCCTTTTAGTGCCAACTCAACTCAACATTTCCATTTCTCAGGTAAAAATTATGATTTGGTTGGGGCATTTTATGAAAACAAAAAAACATTGAAAACGCTCATGCCTCATAAATGAAGAAGTGGTCGATATAAGAGACGTTAAGAGTGATGTTTCTTGTGTCGCCCCACCATTGTCCCCAACGGCATAATGATATAAAGCTGATTGGATCCGATATAACATGTGAATAAGATACAATGGGAATATCTATGATACGATATGGAAAGAGTTTTGACTAATCAAAACCCACCCATGAATTTTGATAAATAACAATATGATGCACCGCGGGAGTTTTGTGTATCAAGTGTCAAGTGGGGATTTGAGGGTTTCTTCCCCATACATCGAAGAAGTTTATCATCGTTGCAACACCTTGCTGTTTCCCATTACTACTATTCGCCACAGATTATCCTTCTTTCAATGTTTCTTATTTCTTTTCCATTCATTTGTTAATGGAAAAATCACGATTATTGAGCACCACCATACAAACCTAACAAGTATAACCAGCTCCATAGGGTTGTCATCACTGCTCAAATCCAACTAACAGTTTTGTTTATTCATGGAAGGTCCCTAACCTCTCACTTTTTCCCTTAGGCTAAGAGCTAATTGTAGGGATTTCTATTGTTTCAAGGCTTTAAACCTTTAATGGTCCCCATCATGATTTTCAAAACCAAACCAAATCGGACAGTCAGACCAAAAAAATCGGGAACCAATCATGTGACCGATTCCGTTTTTTTCCAAAATCGGATTTTTGACAAAAAACGTTGATTTTGTCAACAAATCGCTGATCTGAGCGTTTGAATTGTTCAACAGTTTTGACCTTTTTTTTTATTTTTTAATTTTTTGTCAGAATGGGTCGACCGTTCGATTCAAACAGTCAGACCATTTGACCTGAGAACCGGACCTCTAACCAGTTCATTGTATGGGTTGGTTTTAAAAACCTTGGTCCCCATAAAATTGGGGCCCACCCCACTTTGAACCCACCTTGTTGCCATTCATATGCTCAATTGAGAGTAGCTTGTTAATAATGTAGCAATAGTTCACCTAACTCAACCGGTACTACGCACATTAATTTCCAACTATGGGTGATCATGGGCCGGGCTTTGCATTTATGATAAGGTCTATAGCTTAGGCCCGGGCCTGGCTCAGCCTGGGGTTCTAGGCCAGAAACATAAGCCCTAACCCAGGTCTATACGGGCCCAAGCTAGGCCAGGCCTGATTCTGAGCCAATGTCACTCATATATAAAACATTACATATCTATAATATTTTATGACATAACATGCATATAAACTTATTTTATACATTATAAAATATAAAATATTACATATAATATAAATTATACATGTCATGTTATAATATTTATATATAAAATATATAATATAATATAAAATAACATACATATATATATATATATATATATGGATACATTATACACAAAATATGTAACTTTAAATATATGCGGGCCGGGCCAAGCTTAAAATATTAAGCCTAAGCTTGGCCCTAAAATTTGTGGGTTTGATGTGGACCTGGGCCAGGCCTAAACATAAAACACAGGCCCAAACCTAGAATTTTCAGGCCGGACTAAAATGATCACCCCTACTTCCAACCAACTTCATGGTAGAAGCTCTATTGGTTTAGGCTTCAGTTTCGTGATCTCTCATTCCATTGTGGTTAAGGATTATGAGTTAGAACTATTCACAAGTTAACTAACATCTTGTAGGACAAATTATGCAAATTTACGAGTTGTGATGGCCATATATTCTATACAAAGTTTCCTATTTTGTAATTAGCTCACATAGGATACATTGAATAAGTAAAAAATGAGCCATCGGATGTGATCTATAACAAATTTCAGCTGTTGGATTTGAAATTGGTTGATTAATTGTGTAAAATATGCTTATCAACATTTGGTAGTTTAGTGGGAATTAAAGTAGGTGTAGAATTATGGGTTAAACCTTATATGGCATATACTAGATTGTTTTTCCAACATATGCAAAACGGTATAAAAATGAAGGTTTTAAAACCGAATCAGACAACGAACCAGTAAGGGGTCCGGTTCCTGGGTTAAACGGTCCAATTATTTGAACCGAATGGATGGCCCGTTCTAACAACAAATAAAAAAATAGTCAAAACTATTAAATATTACGGTTCAAACGGTTCAACCGCCCGAGTCAGTAGTTTG